TACAGTAGTCTGTTCTTGAGACTATGAATGAATGGACCAGCATGGTGAGAGTCCCCGTCTTGTCTAGGTTTAACCTTAGTCCATTTGACTGCATCCATTCCAGAATGGTCTCCAGGCAGCACCCAAGGGACGGCATCCACTGCAGACAGAAAACAGGAGATGTAAAGCTGGGTGTCTTCAGCATATTGGTGACACAAAGCTCCACGTCCCTCCAATGGCCTCATATAGATGTTAAACAGCATTGGGGAGATGATCGAACCCTGCAAAACCCCAGAACTGAGGGACCACGAGGCCAATACATTCTACCCAAGCTGCACTCTCTGAGGACGGCCCTCCAAGAAGGACCAGAGCCAAGTGAGAGCAAGGCCACAATTCCCAACTCGGAGAGCCTCCCCAGGAAGATACCGTGGTCAATGGTATCAAAGGTGGCTGAGATATCAAGGAGGACGAGCAAGGACATTTTGCCCCTGTTGGCCTCCCTAAGTAGGTCATCCAGCAGGGTGACCAATGCCGTTTCCATGCTATGGCGCAGCCTGAAGCCCGACAGAAATGGATCCAGGGCATTGGTTTCATAACTTATCAGTATTTTAGCTGGTCTTCTATGTCTCCCTTCATATTTCCATATGGTTTATATTATTTTAAAAGATTAACTTACTTTGTCTTATTTAGAGTTACTTTCTGGGTATAGTTGTTATTGTGAACATGATGATGATGATGATAATGACGGTGACAAATGCTTAGGAAAAAACCTATTTCAAGTGTTTTTATATGAAGCACAAATCAAATTGAATGACACCCAACTCAGTCATTGAGAAAGTAGTTCTCACAACAATATTTCTGGGCCTTCAGAGAAACAGTGTTCAGATATGGTCTCAATCGCCCCATGTAATTCTCCTAATGGATAAATTTTACATGAATAATAAAATTCCTACAGGAGAGGTAGTATCAAGGAGCTCATTAAATGATTCACTCTTCAGAAATGTTGTTAGAAAAAAGCAGATCCCTTTATATTTACACAAACTGTTGTATCACAACAAACACTTTCTCCAGGTGCCTGTCCTCATGTATCTAGAATGGCACTGTCTACTCACAAAAGTAAGAGGCCAGACCAACCTTGTGGGGGTGGGGTGGGACAAAAAAGAAACCTAAACAAAATTTAGAAGACTCCATGAGGATAGACATCGTTGTCACAGAACATTGGGTGGCTTTTTAGGGAGGCACAGAGTCTAAACATCATGGGGAGGAGAATAAGAGTGAGGTGTCCTGAAAGAAGAGCAATCTGGATGATTGCTTGGAATTCTGAATAGAAACACCCCGGAATCCAACATTTAGCTCCAGAACCCCTTTTCTTTTCTGAGAATAATAACTGAAACTCAGAAAAAAATTGTTACAGCCCAAATGGTCAGTCAAATTCTGGATCTAAATGGTTGTATTATTATTTTATTTAATCATATTTATAAATTATATTCATGTGAACTGCCTTCTATAGACTATCCTGAAAAGCATCCTATTAGTACATGTTCAAACAAACAAACAAACAGCTATTTAGCTCAATGTGTCAGTGCAAATACAGGGCATGTCCTGGAAGCAGTAGCAAAGTGACCAAAGGCAGGGACTTTAGTCCAGGATAGGCGGACCAGGTTGTAAAACACAACAATGCAAGGAAAGACCCTAGAACAGTGGTGTCGAACTGTGGCGCTCAATGTGTCAGTGCAAATACAGGGCATGTCCTGGAAGCAGTAGCAAAGTGGCCAAAGGCAGGGACTTTAGTTCAGGATAGGTGGACCAGGTTGTAAAACACAAAAGTGCACGGAAAGACCCTAGAACATGAGCCAAGGAAGATCTCCCTTGATGGTGAGACAAATTCAGGGAGTGAAATCTACAGCTAAGATTTTATAAAGCCTGGTTGAAAGTAATGGTCCTAGATGGCATGATGGGATCCTTCAACCGTACAGCTCAGTTTGCAAGGCTTGTGGTTGGTCTGGCTACAGAGTCCTGATTCAACATTGCTTGTGGTAGCTTATTATTAGTGAACATATTTTAATGATAGGCAATTATTTGTATGGTGGACAGCAATGTACAAATAATTGCCCTTCATTAGCCTGGTTGAAAGTAATGGTCCTAGATGGCATGATGGGATCCTTCAACCGTACAGCTCAGTTTGCAAGGCTTGTGGTTGGTCTGGCTACAGAGTCCTGATTCAACATTGCTTGTGGTAGCTTATTATTAGTGAACATATTTTAATGATAGGCAATTATTTGTATGGTGGACAGCAATGTACAAATAATTGCCCTTCATTAAAATACGTTCACTTACTAATAAGTATATCATTGTTTGTATGCTGGAGCCGAGATATTTTTTAGAAAGTATTATTTTTTGAGAACAAGAAACTGTTTGGAACTTTTAGCTGACAGAAAAAGCGTATTTCTTGCTCAGAGACAGTGCCATTTTTATATGAAAAAAGAACCTAAAAGCTAACTACAAAGATCCTGTATCAGCTATGGAGACATTCAGCATTTTGAGAAACAGACATTAAATCAGAATGTAATCTCATTCATGTCAATGACAACTTGTAGACAATCCTATTGTTGAGAGCTTTGAATTCAGATGAATACAACCCCCATTAAAAAAAATTCTTGTGACATTTCTGTTGTGCTTTATTTGATGTAATTTGTCTTGATTACTTATAATGCTCCAAAGAAGACACTGTACTGTATGTTCTTTAAAATTGCATCCTGACATCAGGAGTTTAACTTTAAAGCTGTGAATCTTCTGTTAAGTTGGACTTTGATTGCATCACCTTGAAAGGAGACAAGTGAGTGGCAGCTTGCTGAAACTCCTTGGCAACCAAATAATAGCAGATGGCGTCCAAGCAGCAGTTTTGATTTGCCATTATTGAAGTTGCATGCAATGTTTTGTTAATACTGCTGATCAGGTCACATCGAGATGCATCTACCAGGTATTTAGCCAGCAGACTTAAGTGGAAAGGCAGAAAGCATATAATGAAGATGACCAAGTTCACTGAGACCAGACGAATTGCTTTGTGGGTTAACTTTTCCTCCTGTAGATTAGTGTTCTGTTTCTTCTTCAGGCGTCGGATGACTTGTATGGAACAAAACAACAAGATTACCAGCGGTATGAAAAAGAAAACGGTAAATTTGATTGGGATATGAGGAAGATTTTCAACAGAAGTTTCATAAAAACAAAGTTCTTGTTTTTCTTTACTAAGATGAAAATGTGACATGGTAAAAAGGAAACAACAGAGCCAAAGAAATAAACAGATGATGACTGAATTCCTTGGAGACCTTATTACTTTGGCTTTCAAAGGATGTTTAATTGCAATGTACCGGTCCAAGGCTATTAAGGTGATGGTATTGATGCTCATTGGCATATTCATGCAATACAGGCAGAATATGATTCTGCAAAAGAGATCAATGGGCGAGTTGTTGTTATGAAAATACATTTTGAAAGGCAGGGTGAGGGCAAGCATTAAGTCTGCCACAGCTAAGCTGATCATGTAGATTCTGGTCTCTGTCAGCCTGCCCAGTTTGAAGCAGAACACCCACATGGCAAAGATGTTCAATATGATTCCAAAGAAAGTGACCAGGCTGGAAGAAATTAGTTCAACTATAAGGATGTTCTTATCAATCTTGATGGAGCTGTTGCAGTTCACCATGATGTAAAGAGATGTTACTGTAAAAAACATTTTTTTAAAAAAATAATTAGCCAAACTGAGCCTGTTAATAATTCGGACATGATTGTTGATTCTAAAAACAGCAGCTAGTTCTGCTTTCCTGTTTCCTAACTTCTTCGCAGCATCTCTTTGCAGTGTCCTTGCAAGCACAATGCTTGAGGACGAATCCTTTCAATGTGGGTGTAGGAAACATTTGCTAAGAGATCCTAACAGAGGTTAGATAGCCTTGTTTCTCCCCTACCATCTCTTACGGTTCCACCATTACATCTTCAAGTCAGTAAAACTTTTCTCTCTTTGCCTGTACAGTATTTCTAGACTAGTCCCAGACAAGATTGAGAGTCAACACAAGCTCCCCAGTTAGGGAAAAGAAAGCATCCGTCTCACTGCAGATCTTCTCACTCACATAATCAGCAAATTAGCTTGCTTTGCTTTTTGATAGCTGATTGAAAGCTAAGCAGAACTTTGTTTGCCTCTGATTTCTCAGGCATGAAGAGCAAATATGTTGTGGTACCTTAAAGATAATTGCTATTTTTTAACGTGAGCTTTCACGGACAGGTCCACTTCCTCAGACATGAGATTCTTAATGTCTGACTCTAACACCTCATACTGTTATGTCCGAGGAAGAGAACTTGTCCACAAGAGCTCTGGTTAAAATACAGCAGCTGGTTATTGAGGTGCCACAGTGTTTTTGTCTTCTTTATTTTTTATTTCTCATTTGTTTTTTCCTGATATGCTACCACAGACATAACATGGCTACCTCTTCTAAATCAGGCACAAAGGTTTAGGATACAATATGATTTGAGCTCTAACAGTAGATTGTCTGTAGCACATAGTTTGGCCCTTGCAATAAACCAAGAAGTAAATAAGTCAGATAATGAAAATATATATATATATAAACTATTCAGAGCTTAATCTAAATGTACTGAAGCTACTTAGATTCCAAACATTTCTCATATATGATATGTAATTAATATATGTAATTAATACATGAAGAATTCTCATATATTTCTGCTCAGCCTATAGTGGAGCAAAAAGGGGGGGGAGGTAGAAAGGAGAATGATTACCTGTCTTTTCTGATTGTATTCTTCAGGATCTGTAGCAATTCAGCTTGCAAAGAAATGTCCAGTGCAGTTGACTTGATTATCTGGGAGAATGATTACCTGTCTTTCTGATTGTATTCTTCAGGATCTGTAGCAATTCAGCTTGCAAAGAAATGTCCAGTGCAGTTGACTTGATTATCTGAATGTGATGGTGTTTCTCAGCAGCACTTGTTCAATCTGATCCCACCTACTTTTCTGGGTGTAGTAATCTATCAACAGCAAATATGTGATGGGGATTTATCTGAAGCAGAACTAAATAGCATCACAAGGGAAAGAGGAAACCCAAGAAAACCACTTGTGTTTCATAAACAGATAAACTTCAAATTGAAATGTATCCTTTCAGAATCATTTATGTAATTTTTGTAGCATATATATGCATATTCCATGCTGTTGTATGATCCAGACATCCTGGAGTATTTTTTTAACTACACTTATTTCTTTTCCCAACAAAGATGTTATATTTCATAATTGCTTTTCTATTTTTTCCCCCATCAAGCAAATTATATTTAATAGTTACACTTGACCAACTGAGCGCTGTAATCCTCCACCAAAACAGTTCTAACCACTGCAAAGACAGACAGTTGCAAGTTACAAATGCAGTCACAAAATGGACGGTACTTGGCCCTAGTAATACTGCAGGTGAAAAGGATATTGGAATTACTGTAGGCCATAAGCTGGATATGAGCCAATATGATGAAGCGGCTGCAAAAAAAAAGGCAAATGTTATTTTAGGCTGCATTAACAGAAGTATACTGTAATATCCAAATGCTATGTTACTTCTATTCAACACTGATTAGGCCTCATTTCAAGTACTGTATTGTGTCCATTTTTGGACACTGCACTTTAAGAAGAATGCAGACAAACTGCTTGAATATCAGGAAAAACTTCCTAACTGTTAGAACACTGTGAATTAGAACCAATTACCCCAGGAGTTGATGGACACTCTAACACTAGAGGCACTGAAGAGAAAGTTCGACAGTCATCTGTCAGATATATTTTAATATGGATTCCTGCATTGAGCAAGGGGTCAGACTCACTTGCCAAACTCCATTATTCTACACTTTGATGCTTCTGTGCTTCTAGATACAGCTTTAGACGTTCAAGTTCCATCTAGATCATCAGGGGCCCTATCAAGGCCGCTTTATCCAGAAGGCAAAGTAGGCATTTGCCCGGGGCCTACTATCTGTAGGGACCCACATGAAGAGGGGGATGGAGCAGCCAGAGGAGGAGCAGCAGCTGGCTAGGAACCCTTGGAGCTGTGAGGGCGAGGCCAGCCTGGGGCTGTGGTGCAGTGCATGCAGGTGGTGCTCCTGGCGGGCAAGCCATGGGGGCTGGACAGCAGGCAGACAGTGCTCAAGTTTCTTTGTACACTACATCCTGCCCCTGACGGCCTGCTATCGCACCAGGGGAAGAGCCACAGGGCCCTCCAGTGGGCGCTGCCACTTCCTCCACCTCCTTTCTGCTCCCCTGGAGCGGCTGCCATGGGTGCCATCATGCATTGCTGCATGAATGGGAGCTGTGCCTGCAGGAGCTGCTGCTGGGCACTGCTGCCCAACAAAGAGAAGGGCACCATCTTGCTTCTCGAGGACCTGCTCTGGAGAATCTTCCAGGGCCCTGACGTTGCCGCGCCCTACAGATGCACAGTCGTCTTTGCCCCCGGCCATCCCGATGGCGTCCTGGAATTCAAGTGCCTCAGCAAGACCCGCCTCTCCCAACTGAGGTCAGGTGAGGAAGGGTTGTGGGAGTAAGGCCTCCTGGGATGCACAGGGGCACTCCGCTTAGGCTCAGGGGCACTCTTCCCACCAGCACCCTCAGTTGGGTGGCGGTACCTGTTCCTTCAAAGTGCCTGCGGCCTTCTGCCTCCTCCCATGCCTGAGAGCATGTCCTGCGGCCCCACACGACAGGCAGCCTCCCTCCATCCCTTCCACATGGAGCCTACCCTGGATTGTAGCCTCTGCATGTTCTGCACACAATGTACACAACTTTTCCTCTGGGCATGTGCAGAGTGCCTCGAAGCTCAGCTTTAGACTTCCCGTACCCTCCTCCTGCCTCATAAGCTAGACATTATTTTCATTGTTATATTGTTTGTTTGTTTACCTAAGCATTGTTAACTTATTTACTGCTACCAAGATTACCTTAGCAAGTCAGTCTTATTTATGTTATATTACATTGTTCATGTTGCGTGACCTGTTTAGGTGAGAGGTAAGGGAGAGGGAGGGAAGAGGAAGGGTACCCCCACTATTATATTTTTTGCCCAGGGCCCACCAGAGCCTTGAATTGGCCCTGGCCTCTTATCCCATAGGGACGCCCTTGCTGAATATATGCATGTTCTGGGAACTATCATCCAAATAACTTTTCTAAGTTCTCTCCAGTAGACACTATTCCACTGTCCTCTCAACATGTTTAGTTAATTCAAAGCTAAAAATGAGAGTAAGGCTCATTAGGAGGAGGGCAAATACTTTTTAAAGTTTTTGAAAATACAGAAGGCTCATAGTCAAGCCAGAAGATTGATCTAAGTCACATCGCTTCCCATAATGACGACATTCACATGGCAAATGGTCTGAAGCCAAATGTAGCCACTGAAAAAAAACAAGGAGCTATCAGTTTGCTCAGAAGAATCCTAAGCTTTAGTACAAGAAGAAGAAGAAAAATAAAAAGAAGAAAAAGATGACAAAGAGAGAAAAAAGTACCGTATTTTTCGCACCATAAGACGCACTTTTTTCCCACAAAACAGGGGGGTGTAAAGTCTGTGCGTCTTATGGAGCGAAGAAAACAGATTATATTTTCCTGTTTTCTTCTCCTAAAAAATTGGTGCGTCTTATGGAAAGGTGCGTCTTATGGAGCGAAAAATACGTATATGAAATCCTCAAAAAGGGAGAGGATGCACTGTAACATTTCCTTGCATGTTCTATGTATCATCTTGAGCTATTCTTGTTATTCTTTCTTCAGAAATGATACAGCAGTAATACTTTCTTAGAGCTGCAACATAACATCAAATTTTGATTTCTACTTTTTATTTTTCTGATTTGGACTTTCATTTTGTGGGGTTTAATTGTTTGGCATTAATACTCAGGGTATGCCATATTATAAGCATAGGGATGGTTTTATCCTGGCCGTGGGGTGAGTCCTCCCTTTCTTGGACCATGCACTGGAAGTGTTTATACCTCTGTTCACTGAGGAATAGAATAACAAGTAATATCTAGTGGTGGGAAGCAACTAAAAACTCTTACACATTGTAACACCCTTACACAAAGCACTTGTTCTTCTTACAGTAATAGGTTCTGCATTAACGTTATTCATATTTTTCCAGCATCTGTACAATATTCTTTTGATTCCGATTCATCCAGAGCTTTTCATCATAACTTTCTGCTAAGTTTTAATCACCCTAAAAGGAAGATGGGGGTATCACTTTGTAGTTGGAGGCTTAGTTTAGACAAAGCTGTTCTGTATGGAAGCTTCCAATTAGTACTAAACCACCAGTCAAAAATTAGGAAACAAGAATTTCCAGCAGAGAAGCTCATTTATTGAACATTTCATCAATATTTCTTCCTAATTATTTAAAAGGAGATGGCAATTTCAAGTATAAATGGATCTGAAGTGAATTTCCATGGGGAGAGGTCCCCGCTTGGATGCTTTTAATTGGTACAAAACCTACACATGAAAACAACAACCAAATGCAGCGAAGGGGCTTATTATTTCAATATTAATTCAGAATTTTTGAAAGGGTTCTAAGTGGATGCTGCTTTCTTAAAGATTTATTTATTTATTTATTTGATAAGTAAAGATAAGTACGTTCTTAAAAATAAATGTGAATACAGATCATGATGATCTCCAAATGTATTTGGCACCAAGTAGCAGAGGATGCCTGGCTGAATAGCTCAGTGAGTTGAGTCCCTGGCTGCAGAGCCAGGGGTCAGGAGTCTGAATACCTACTGTGCTTCCTGAGGGAAAAGCCAGCCTGTGTGACTCTGGGCACGCTGCACAGTCCTAGGGCAGTCCCAGAAGGCATTCCCTACTGTGCTTCCTGAGGGGAAAGCCAGCCTGTGTGACTCTGGGCAAGCTGCACAGTCCTAGGGCAGTCCCAGAAGGGAACTGGGAAGGATCACCATAAGTCAGAATCAATTTTATGGCATGTTATTGTTATTAGCAGATGTTTTAAATAAAATTAAATAAATAACCTTTATTGTCAATGCAGTGAAACTGAATGAGCCTCTAGGATGTAAAACCAGTCCTGAGAAAGAATACGTCTTCAGTGACGCAAGAGAGAAGTGAAACTGGAATTTTGATGACCTTTCTCAAGAAACAGAAACTGGTTTCCTTTCTGTGTAGTTTTTCAAAAGCCACAATATGACGTTGAAGCATACAATGCTGCCTATGGTTTAGTACCACATATCTGTCCATTTGGAGATTCCAGGTTAAGATACAACTGTTTTGTGATACGGGGACAAACCAATAATGCAAAGTAGTCAGCCAATTTAGAATGAGCATTGATAACAATCTTTGTACTTTCCGCTGACATACATCTCTGTATGCAGCATCCAAAAGCGTTGTGGCAGATGATCATGCACTTTAATAAAGAAGTCCTATAGGACAATGCAAATATAGTATGGCTAAGGTTGTAGTCTAAATAACTGATTTTTATAAATTCTGGACGATACTTGGACTAGATAGAGGACGTCTGACATGGTAAAAGACAACTCCTTATGTAAATACAGTGACATGCTTGTCTTCTGCCAGTTTGACATTTTAGATTAGAACAATATTATGCTAATTGTTTCAAATGATTTTTATAAACTCTGCATGGTACTTGGACTAGATAGAGGAAGTCTGACATGATAAAAGACAACTCCTTATGTAAATACAATGACATGCTTGTCTTCTGCCAGTCTGAGATTTTAGAACAATATTATGCTAATTGTTTCAAAATCTAAAGAAAGATGTGTGTGGATCTGAAGGTTGCTATAGAGCTATATTCTTCAGATAGTTTCAAATCTGGCTTTCTTAAAATTAGAGGCTACTTTTGTATAGAAATCAGGTATTTTTATGGGAATTAATGGATTCCCAGTGTGGTGTTGTGGGCAGAGTGATGGACTAGGACTCTGGAGAACAGGGTTTGAATCCCCACTTGGCATGGAAACTCATTGGGGGAGTGGAATTGGTAAAATGACTCCTTAAAAATATCTCATTTACCCTGAAATGCCCATTAGAGTCACAATAAGTAGGTTCTGACTAGACGGCACAGAACACACACAA